TTATTATTCTAAGAAAATTTTGTATTATTCCTCCAACGAAGGTTATAATTGTTGGAATTGTTGCTATATTACTGCCTGTTGTGCTTACCAATGTATTGTACCGACTCTGAACTAATTGCACTTTGATCACTCAAATTATTTCCCGCACACAATTCACAATCCTTGCAGACGGCCACTGATAATTATTGGCATTCATCATCTCCAATAACTCGTAGGCTTTATCAAAAATTTTCCCCATCAATGCTCCACCTGCAACTGCATCAATACTAGTCCGAGTAGCACTAAACAACCCATTGTAAAACGTTTGAAGTAAATCTTTGAATGGTGAGAGCATTTTTGGAGTAAATCTTTGAATCACTCCCAAGCTTCATAAAGAGTTTCATAATTATGTTGTTCAAATGAAGTGATGTTTTTTCTCATCCTCGCAGTTTTGGCGGGCAAAAAGAATTTAGCAAAGAATTTTTTTAGCTAAATCTGTCCACATAGTAATAGAACTCAGCAGCAATGAATGCAAACTCTTTGTCGTATAATGAAGTGTGAAAGGGAAAAGTCAAAGTCTAATCGCATCTTTGGTAACCCCGATGTATTTGAACGTGTCGTAAATCTCCAGAAAACTCACCAAATGATTGTTTGGGTTATCAATAGGCAGGCCCTCAAACTGCACTGAATTTTGAATCATTTGAATGGTACCTGGCTTGATCTCAAAATTGTTTGCTTGAATTACGGGCCGTTGAATGTTTGATTGTATTTTCATAATAAGCGGCATAACATAATCCCTTAGTGATTTATGTTCATCTTCAGCCATATTTTCTTAGTTTTTACTACTTAAAAATGTTTTGACAAGTTTCAGAACCTTCTCTCAATTCTTCATAAGGTAGTAGCTGATTAGTAGTTAAAATTAGCATGTTACTATTCCCTTTTAAGAATGATTATGCTTTGAAAGAGTTTTAGTGATGACATTTTAGGAGAAAAATTGTACAAGGGCCTAAATTCAATGCATATCAAACTTCCATGCAACTATCACATGTTCTAGAAGAAAATTGGAAAAGTTTGAAACAAGGCATGAACGTTCGAATGTCAATCTATGTTCGAAAGTCCTCTTGAATTATTGAAGGACTAGACTGCTGAGATGATGATACATGGCGTGTCGTAGCAAAGAAGAAAAACAAAGAGGTACTTGAGTACCACATTCAAATGCTAATCCACATTTGAACGTTGGCCTGAATTAATTGTGGACCCCTTGCAAGAGTGTTATGGCATGCAGAGTGTGGAAGTTACTCTCACATAAGAACAAAGGCCACTTGAGTGGGAAGTTCAAACCCCATCTAGCACTCGAACGCCCATCAAGGAAGACAGGAGACAATGTTTGAACGCCATCTAAAGTTCAAACGTTATCCCCAGATAGGTTGTAGAGTGGTTGAGTTTCCATCTAGACCTTGGGGTTTTCACTTGGGCTTTGAAGACCTTGTACTATTCTTTCACACTTATTTGCCCCCTCCTACTTGCCTATAAAAACTCACACTATGGGAGCTTCAAAAAGAGAGTAGAATTTAGGAGTTGGGATTAGACTTAGACTTACATTCATAGTCATACATAGAGAAAGATAGAAGGAGATAGATCATCTTTTGGTTGAAGAAGAAACCCTTCAAAAGTGACTAGCTCTCTTTTACTTTCATTATTAATATCATTTACTTCCATTGTTTGAGCTTCCTTCTTCCCTTAAAGGAGTGAAACTCTTCCACTTTTTTAGAGCTTTACCAAAGCCGTGAAGGGTGGAACATGATTCACTCATTCTTCATCGAAGATCGGCTCCTTGTGTAGTGTGTTTTACCTTGTAACTCCTCTATTGGGAGGGATAAGTGTCACTCACTTTTCTAGTTTTACCAAAGCCATGAAGAGTGAGTATTTTCTCAATCACACTTTAGTAAAAGGTGATGGACATGTATAAATCATCTAGAAGTTATATTTGTGCATTTTGTTTATGCTTAATGCTTTATATTTCACTTGCTTATTGAATGATTGAATGCATCTAACAAAGCTAAGATACTTTGTACAACCGTGAGTACTTTATATGACATATATGACTCTTGGCATAGAAAGACTCATTGGTTCTAGGCAAGTTCCCCAACTAGATCTTCATGACTACATTTCAATCTTCACCATTATTGTGCTTCAGTTAAAGAATGGAATACTAATGCAATGGTTTGGTGCCTTGTAGAAACACTTGCTTGTTTGTAGACAGGTTGAGTCTTGGCACAAACAATTCTTGTAAACCTCTACAAAGACAACGGAACCATGCTCTTAATTCTAATAAACCATCCTTATCTTTCAATTAACTTCATGTTGACATAGGGGTTAATTGAGCTCCCAAGCACAAACATAACAACCGGATGATTAACTACATGTTCAGATCCTCGAGCTAAAGGGTGACTTTTACATTTGATAACTTATTATATTTTGTCTAGAAAATTCACTTGGAAAGAATCTTATATTCTGTCCAGGAAATCTATTAACTTTAAATCTCAAGAATTCCAGTCACTTGGTCTCTGTTGTTGTTTACTTCAAAACACCAATAATAGTTCCCTGTGGATTCAACTCTGGACTTAACCAGATTATTACTACCGCTTGACCACCTACACTTGGGTGTACACATTTCGAATCCAGTCAGTAGCTCCTGGCCTTTAGATCAAATTAAATATGTTTAAACTAAGATCAAATTGATTGAAATTAATATTAAAATAATTACTATAATAACTCTCCTGCAATGGTGCCAAAAACTTGTTATCCGAATTTGATATTGACAATTTATGTGTAGGTATACACGATCAACAAGTAATAAAATGATGAGTAGAGTATTGTTTCTATAGAGAATTATTACTAATAATTTCTAAGTACTAAATTTCTATCAATTCAATACTGTGTTGCAATCTTCAATCTCTCTCTTGCCTCCAATTTTGATCTCCTTCGTGTTGCTTACTTCGTCCTTGCCTTCAATTTACTATCAATCCTTGGTCTTTCTTATATGTTAGTAGCCCTCCTTAAAAGTATATATATATATATAGCCTGAGAGTTTAATTTCTACTAAAAAAAACATGCTAGAATTCGTCTTCCATGCTAAAACCTGCGCTGTAGCCCCGCAAATCAGCATAGCTGCGCTGAGTTTCTGCCCTTCTAGAGCTTCAGCGCTGATTCCCTTTTATGCGCATGGCTGCCTTTGTTGCTCAGTTCGTAATTAATCCAAAACTTAGGCTGCCAAATGACCTTACTTCCTTCCAAATCTTGATCCCTACAAAACAACATTAAAACACACAAAACAAATAAAAAGGAACATAAGTATTTGGAAACTTGTAATTTCATCAAGCCAAGAATACTCAATTCGTACGTATAAAACTCACTCATTAGGTACCATAATAGTCAGATAAGAATGTTGCAAAACATGTCACTAATGATACACAAATATAGGTAGTGCCTCACTATAGTGGGAGGGTTATTCGTTAACTCAACGGTATATGTTTTTAGGAGATTCTTTTGACAATATCTCTGAGGAAAAAAATGTCAAACCCTAGACCTACAACGAAACACTCCAAGATAAAGATGTAGAACTTTGGCAAAAGGCTATGATGTCTGAGATGGAGTCCATGTACTCCAATCAAGTTTGGGAACTTGTAGAACCACCCAATGGGATAAAACTCATTGGATGCAAATGGGTCTATAAGAGAAAGGGAGGATCAGATGGTAAGGTGGAAACCTTTAAGTTAAGATTGTTGCAAAAGGGTTTACTTAGAAAGAGAGAATCGATTATGAGGAGACTTTTTCATCGGTAGCTATGCTAAAGTCGATTTGGATTCTCTTATCCATTGCACCTCATCTCGATTACAAGATTTTTCAAATGGATGTCAAGACAGCATTGCTTAGCGGGAATCTTAATAGTGCATCTATATGGTGCAATCAAATGGATTCGTATCAAAGGGCCAAGAAAATTCAAAGGATTGTAGTCCATATTCAATTCAAATTTTGGCGTGAAAAAAACATATGATAGAATATCGTGAGGTTCATCGAGCCAGCTATTCAATTTGTGTCAATCTTTGTTCATGTTGTTCACGCTTCAAAAGGTAAATCATAATTTCGCCTTAGTATGGTTAATAAATAAATAAGTTTTTGTAATCAATTATACTTGCCATCAATAATTTTTGGGACTACCGTTCCAACAACTGTAACTCCGAGGTACCATGCCAAACTTTATTGTCAATCATTAATTTTGAATTGAATGGTTTTTGATTGTTGATTAACAAATTAATAAATTAATAAAAATTATTAGACGTGTAATATTTTTATTAGATGAAATGTTAAAATTTAGTAACTACGATTAGACTAGGCAAGTGTTGATTAGATTTAATCTTTATGAAGATTATTTAAAAACCTAGTTGAAGGACACAACTTACATTAAAGGCTTTCTATTTCGTTTCTTTAAATGGTTCCCATAGTGTCACCCTGGGATTGAACCACCTATTGTCCCTATTTTGGTTTTGTTGCCAGGATTACCTATCCACCTCTTTAATAAAGGGAGTTGACATGATATTCTTAGTCCCATATGTAGAATCATAGTGATTGATAATGCCACTTTGTAGTTCCATAGACCTGGAGTTGCTAGAGCATGTGTGGAGATGAATCTTTTGGCTAGCAATCCCAAAAGATTCTGGTTGGACATGGGGGGAGTACGTGGGAGATGGCAAAAGATAGTTTATGAAAAGGAGTACAAATATTGTCCTGCTTGTCTTAAGCAGGGACATGATGTCTCTATATAGAAAGAAGAGGTAGTTGGTGTATCTAAGAAGCTCACTGTTACTGTGAATGGCCCTGGTCTTGATGATGGGTGGAAGAATGTGAAAGGGAAAGTTGTTGCTAGTGATGTGCAAAGAGTTATTCCAAGGAAGGAGTATAGGTAGAGAACTATGGTCCAGACCCCAGTAATAGATAATACTTTTGTTGTTTTAAATGAGGTGAATGAAGTTGTGGATTTTGATGGTGATGTGATGGTAAATCAGAAGTCTGGTATGTTGAATTCTCCTATTTATATTGAGGAACAACCTGAGTTGGTTCGCTCTGGGGCTTCTCAAGCTACTCAAGTGAATGTTGTACCAAAGAATCAAGTATTTTCAAAAGTTGATGTTATGACAGAGACAATGCATGTGGAGCTAGAGAGGAATTTGAATGAGGTAGTTGCTGAAGTCAAGGCCTTAAATAATGAAGAGGTAATTTCTTCTTCTCCTATCATTTTGTTAAATAATAATGCTGATGTTGTTATTAATAAGGAGAATGAATGTATTGATATTGAGATTTTGGGGGCTATGGATTCTTCTATTATGAAGTGTGAAAGGGAGAATAATGTGGTAAATAATGTTGATGTGGAGAACTTGGGGGAATGCAGAGTTGTGCTGGCTCCATCCATGAGTTCTTTTTTTTTTTTGGTGGACTACCAGTTTGGTGTTAGACAAGGATATGTTGGTTCATTGGATGATCAATTTGGTTTGGTGAATGAGAGAATACCTCTTGATAAAGGTTATTATTCAGATCAGGGTAGTTCCCATACTCTAGATACTGATAGTTCTTTTAATGAGGCAGATGAAGGTACTAGAGTTAATTCTAGTGTGAATTTCTCTGTAAGTCATTCATGATTAATCTAATTTCATGGAATATGAGAGGAGCAAGAAAGGCTCATAAAAGAAGAAGGCTGAATAAAAATGATTAAAATGAATGATGTTTGTTTGGTTGCAGTGTAGAAACCAAAGCTGTTAGTTTCTAAAATGACAGCTTTTGCAGGGAGCATTGATCTAGCTTATTTCTGTTTTAATAGTCTTGTTGAGAGGAATATATGGTTATTGTGGGATGATAGGGTCAAGATAAAAGTTTTGTTTGCTCATGAACAAGTTTTGAGCGTTGAATTCTCTTTTAAAGAATCTGAGGTTTTTTGGCTTTTTGTGGTGTATGCTAGCTATGACCTGATAGGAATCAGATTATATTTCGTTATAGTAGGCGTAGGCGTAAAGATTAGGAGTTATTTGTCATTATGCTTTTTAGGGGTTTAGTTGTCATTATAACTATTTATTTCTTTTAGAGTTCTTTTAGGATTTGTGGTCTCCCTATATATATAGGAGTTATGCTATTTGTTTTGATAGACTTTGATTATTGATTATTGATATTGAATCTTCTTTCTAAAATTCTCTCTATTCTCATCTCCTTCTTCTTCTTTTCTCATCTATTTCTTCTTCCCTTCTCATCCCTAATTCTTCTCTATTATGATCTACATCAATTAGTTATCAGAGCCTAATTTTGATTCATACAAATCACAAAAAATCTCAACAACACCGTTCATCAAAAAAAAAAACTGTTCATGCAAAATCACTGTTCACCGTTGTCCAAGTAAAAAAAAAAAAAAACTTTGACAGATTCTTACTGTTCATCATTCTTGTTCTAGAAAAAAATAAAATAAAATAATTTCATCGTGCACATTGTTCATCGCACACTATTCTGGTCTCGTTCCATAAAAAAAATCAAAAAATAAATAAATAAATAAAATTTATCGTGCGCACTATTCTGGTCTCGTCCCATAAAAAAAAAATAATTAATTATGCACTGTTCATCGTTGTTACTGTTCATTGCACATGTTTTCGTCGTTGACCTGTGCTGCTTCGACTTCATCGTTGCATGTCTTCTTCCTCGTTCCATCGTGTTAAGGAAGAAGACATTGGTTTTAATCCTTTCACCCCCATAAAGCTCTAGAATTACAGGAACCTCTCCAGAAGTTCTCGAAAGTTACAGAATCACCCCAGAAGTCTAGTAAATTATAGAAGTATCATCCAGAAATTTCAGTATTGCAGAAACGTCCCAACAAGTTCAAAAAATTATAGAAACATCACCCCAGAAGTTCTAAAAATTACAAAAACACCCCAAAAAGTTCTACAGTTTGTAGGATCATCCCCTAACTTGTCAAGCATCCTATTGGAGTTGCATCTAACAGCAGGTATGAGTTCTTTTTGTTGAGAATTGGTGACTAGTATTTATATTTGTTGGTAAGTCAAACAAAAAAAAAACCTAAACTTTCTTTGTTTGTTGTTCCCGCATACCACCTTCATAACCTTCTTTGTTTGTTGTTCCCACACACCACCTTCATAACTTAGCTTACTCAATTTCTTGTTAAATCCATTGTTGCTTGTCTCATGTTTATTTAAGCCTCTTTACAATAAGTTTGTTCTTATGTGTGACCATTTGCATTATTTTATAATTTTTATTACTTGGTTTAATTTTTAGTCTAGTCGGCCATTTACATTAGCCCAAATTTTACATTACATTCACTATGACCCTTCGTGAGCTTCAGAATCCCATACTGCATTAGAACAAAAATTTGAGACCCTCACCATTGATATGACCGATACTAAATAATCAGTCGACTTGTTACGTGAGGAAGTTAAAGGAATGGGGCAACAACTTTCTCAAGTTACTCCTTAACTAGCCCAATTGACTAAGTTTATGGCAAAATGACCAATAGACAATGACCAGAGTGACTCACAAGTTTCACCTAAGCCTAACCAAGTACCCAATGTTCGGCACCTACCTCTCCCGATACATCCTACCGACTCATGTCAAGGTGTCCTACCCACTCCGCAAGTAGCTCAGGGGAGCCGAATACAGCATCCAGATAGGAAGACACCGCCTAATACCACTTTTGGACGAAATATAGGTCGTACGAATGTTCAGGAGGATCTCGCTGAGGTAGTCATGTCTGATTATTAAGCAGAGGGTGATATGGATGGTTATCGTGAGCCCTTTCGCCCACGTGCCAGATACTATAGGTCTCCCCCTCCGCGTTACCATAATCCACAACATAGGCATGTCCACGAAGAATCTAGGGATATCACACAAAGAGTCAAAGTGGACGCTCCTAGCTTTGATGGTAGGTTAGATCATGTTGCTTTTCTTAGATTGGTTAGATGACATGGATGACTATTTTGATTAGTATGATATGTCCAACAACCATCGGGTTCATTTTGCCAAAATGAAACTCGTTGGTTCGGCTAAGAGATATTGGCAGGGAGTCCAACGAGACCAAGAGCGCCTAAAGGGACAACCTATTACTTTATGGGCTGAGATGAAACAAAGATTGCGAGATAAATATCTCCCTAGTTACTATAAGCGCCAACTCTTGGACAAGTGGATGAACTTGCATCAATTGACCTTGAGTGTGACTGATTACCTAGCTCGATTTGAAGAGCTTTTTCTGAGATGTGACATAAAGGAAGAGTTTTGGGTAATAGTTACAAAATTCATTAATGACTTTCGACTAGAGATTAAGAGAAATCTTAACTTACACTCTCCTGAAACGGTTGAGGAAGCATATTATAAAGCCTTAGAGATTGAGCAATACCTTAGGCCAACCTTTTAGCGTCGAAAGCCTTCTCAAACCGAAGAATCTCAACCATCAAGGTCAGTTCCATTTGATCAGTCTCGAGGCGTCACCCAATTAGGCCCTGTCACATCCAGGGGTAATAATTACCCCAACTTGAGAGGTAATACCACTAGGGGACGAGATTCTACACTCACAGGTTCTCGTTAGGATAGTTCTTCCATAGAGTGTCATCGTTGTCATGGCAAGGGTCATATTGCTTCACAGTACCCTCAGCATACCTTGACCATTGACCAGGGATTATAGAATTCACTTGACAGAGATCCTTTGGATGAGGAACCCTTAGAGTTACTAGATGAGGGTGAGGAAGAGTGGCAAACCGATGACACCCATGTTAGTGTGATGCGATGTATCTTATCCACCCCTTCAAACACAATAGCATGGAAAATGCACCAGCATTTTTCATACTCTAGTTTGATGTGGGGGTCAAGTTTGCAAGGTCGTCATTGATGGGGGAAGTTCATTGAATGTAATCTCTAAATCAGTTGTAGCTCAGTTGCAGCTTAAGTCAGAGACACACCCACAACCTTATAAAGTCGCATGGGTTGACAAGACCTCCTTACCAGTCTTACATAGATGTTTGGTCCCTATTCAGATGGGTGACTATTCAGATCATATATGGTGTGATGTCTTACCTATGGATGTCGCTCATGTCTTGTTGGGTCGCCCGTGGCTTTTTGATCTAGATATGACAAACTATGGGAGGAAAAATACCTATGTTTTTAAGCATAAGGGAAAACCATTAAGTTAAAACCTGTGAAACCCTCAGAAAGTAATACTTCAAAGCATAGGTCATCTTCCCCAGTTATTCACAAGAAAGACCTTCACATCTTGACCCATAGAGAATTTGAGAAAGAGAGAAAAGAGTCTGGTATAATGGTAGCTCTAGTTATCAAAGAAGTTGTTCTAAGTCCTCTAGAATCTAAAGACGATCTTTTGCCTGAGGTTGATAGTCTATTAAGAAAGTTCCATGATGTGATTCCTGAGAAACTACCCAATGAGTTGCCACCAATGAGAGATGTTCAGCATGCTATTGACTTAGTTCCAGGATCTCAGTTGCATAATCTTTCCCATTATCGTATGAATCCCACTGAGCGTGCTGAACTCCAAAGGCAAGTAGATGGACTGTTGCAAAAAAGGTCTGTTCATCATAGTCTTAGTCCATGTGTTGTCCCTGCTTTGTTGACCCCTAAGAAAGATGGCTCTTGGAGAATGTGTGTTGATAGCCGTGTCATTAAAAAAATTACAGTCTAGTATCGATTTCCTATACCGAGACTTGAAGATATGCTTGACCTTTTGGCCAGTGCACTTTGGTTCTCCAAAATTGATTTGCGCAGTGGTTATCATCAAATCCGAATTAGACCAGGAGATTAATAGAAAACCGCATTTAAAATCCAGGATGGACTTTATGAGTGGTTGGTCGTGCCTTTTGGATTTTCTAATGCACCTAGCACATTTATGAGGGTTATAACTCAGATATTGCGTCCTTTCCTAGAAAAATTTGTGGTTGTTTACTTTGATGATATCTTGATCTATAGTAAATCTAAAGAAGAGCATTTGGATCATCTTCGACAGATTTTACAAACATTACGTATGGAAAAATTCTATGCGAACCTTAAGAAGTGCTCCTTTATGAAAACTCAAGTGCTTTTCCTTGGATTTGTTATTTTTGCGCATGGTATTGCAGTTGACCCAGAGAAAATTCGTGCTATTAGGGATTGGCCAGTGCCAACAATTTCTGAGGTTCAAAGTTTTCATGGTTTGGCCACCTTCTATAGACGATTTATTAAAGGGTTTAGTTCCATTATGGCTCCCTATCACAGAGTGCATGAAAAAAAGGGAGTTTCAATGGACACTTGCTACAACTAGAGCCTTTCAAGAAATTAAGCACATGATAACAGAAGCACCCGTTCTTCGACACCTAGATTT